AGGCTCTGCCAATTTTCAGTTTAAGAAAAAACCAGCTGATAAGTTTTGAAGCTTGAGTCATGAACAATAAAACTTATAAGCAATTAATTGATGAATGAGAGAAATGTCGATCAATTTACTATAAAAATACGGGGGAGATTTTATACATAGGCAACCCCGTTAATCCGAACCCCGTTAATCCGAAAACCCCGTTAAAATGAATAATTCTTAAAACACCAAAGCCAAACATATGTGTTAATATGAAATAACTTCATAACCATAAACCAAAGAAATTTTTAAATTTTTTGAAGCCATTTATATGTAAAATTGCCCTGTTAACCCGAATTTTTATAAACCAAAGTAAAATAAAAATTGGACCAATAATAATAATATATGTTATACAAATACATATGTACAAAAATTACCATGGAAATAGCAAATAATAATCATAGATCTTCCTCTAGTGCAAACAAGAGGGGAAAAAAAAAATCAACTGAAAAAGAAGTTGGGGTATCAAAAAGAAAACATACACCTATAACAATCTCACAAAAAATAGAAATATGTATTGAAAAAAATAAAGACCCAAGCATAAAAAATAATCAGCTTGCATTTAAATATAATGGTGAATCTACTATTTCTGAAATTCTAAAAAAAGTGATTATTTTTTATCATTGAATCCAAATCAATTCATTGCAAATTCATATCATGAGAGATCAACAAAATATCCAGAAATTGAACAATCATTAGCACTCTGGATTGATCAGGCAGCAAGTGATAATTGTACTTTATCTGGGCATATTGTTATTTCAAAAGCTAAAGTTTTGCCCAATATTTTCAGATAAATGACTTCAAAGGATCAAATGGGTGGTTTGATAGATTTAAAAGATGATACAATATTTCTGAACATGTTCATTGTGGTGAGTCAAATTCCGCACCTTTGGAGGAATTGTCACAATATTGTGATAATCTCAAAAATCTTCTTAATCGATGGAATCTTGATGATGTATACAATTGTGATGAAACTGCACTTTACTGAAAGCTAGAACCTTCCAAAACTTTTGCCAGTGGACCAATTTCAGGCACTAAAAGACTATAGGACTGAGCTACTGTTTTACTTACCTGTAATGCTACAGGAACATCCAAATTAACACCTCTTTTCATTTATAAATATAAAGACCCTAGATGTTTAAAAAATATTGATAAGAAAACTTTGCCTGTTTTTTATTATTGGAATTTGTGTGCCTGGATGTAATAATCTGTGTTTTATCATTGGCTTACAAAATTAAATGAAGATATGAGAAAAGCAAGATGTCACATTTTGCTTTTGCTAGATAATGCTACATTGCATTCATTGGAAGAAGGCATTTCTCTTTCTAAAATTATATTACACTATTTCCCTCCAAATACTTAGGGATGGGGCAGCTCTGTTGGAATATCTTTCCTTTTAAGGAAAGATCTTTGAATATATCACGTGAATTTTTTTCTTGACTAAATAATATATAATAATAAAATAATAAAAAAACGAATAATTGATTCATCAGGGTTGATGTAAAAATTCTCTCGGTGGAAGTTGCCTATTTCTTGATCATCAAAATTTTCTTGTATTTGTTCATCCATTTTTATTATTATCCCCTAAATGATTAATCGGCTATTGATAGCTGATAAAATTTTTCTGATATAAAAAATTTTTTCTGAGGGCATCACTTTCTAATACAAAAATGAT